TGGGTGTGGTTTGGGCTTTGCTTCTGTGAAGGTAGGAGCTCTGGTGGCGTAGTGCCTAAGGCATTTGACTGCTAACCAGAAGGCTGGCGGTTCAAACCCACCAGCCACGCCTCAGGAGAAAGATGAGGCAGTCTGTTTCCGTGAAGATTTACAGCCTTGGAACCCTATGGGGCCTTTCTACTCTGTCCTAAAGGATCGCCATGCGTTGGAATTGACTTGATGCCAGGGGGGTTGGTATTTTTGGTTTTCTTTTCCTGATGTGCAGTGAACACTGTATATCCCCTCATCCCCTTCTTATAGAAATGCTTCCCACAGTCCTCCGACCATCCTGTAAAAAGGAATACACTATACCGATGTTATACTGCACCAGTGTCTCTCCCGCTGGCCTGGAATCCACGGAATTACCCTATCATTTCACGGCATAGTTTGAGCCATACAGTTATTGAAACAAGGAAATGGTTTTTCACCTAAGTCAGTTGGTTGAAATTAAGGCTTAGAATTTCTTGAGAGGATAATTAGTATTTTTATTGATATTTCATATTTAATTTCCTAGGAACTCCAAAACCAAGAACTGATTGGCTAGGATCTTATCAGTCTTTTTGAGCCATGTGTTTAATGGCTCTTAACCGCCAGCCTTCTGGTTAGCAGTCAGATGCCTTAGGCACTATGCTATTGGAGCTCCCCATATGAGTATAGTAGTAATATCAAGGCTCAGAAAAAAAGAATAAATAATATATTTTTATCATTTCTTTATTATGTTTTAGTATTCCTTTTTGAAAAATCTCTTTTAATTGTTAATATCAGCATTCGGAAATAGCAATGGTTAAGAGTTGGGGTTTACTAAGCAACTTAGGATGTACCAGACATCGCTCCATTGCTTTCTGGATTTTCACCCATGTAATTTTCACAAGAGCCCCAAGAATTAGGTTCTTTTCATATCCCCACTTTACAGACGAGCAAAGGTGGTGCAAAGATGCTAAATAACTTGCCTAAGTCACAGAGCTATGAATCCACAAAGTCAGGATTCCAGCCTGGTAGCCTGGTTCTGGAACATTCACTCAGCCACGCCACCAGACGGCTTCCGAGTAGTGTGGGCTCCTCTCATCTCCCCACAGCCCAGCCTTGAGGTTATTCCCCAGCGAATGCCTCAAAGCAGCTTCCTCCCTTCCTCTTACATTTTCCATCCAGTCACCCTTGGAAATCTGCAGGTCCGCTGGAGGGGTCTGGTTCCAGACCACTGCAATGAAGCAAATACTGCAGCAAACTGAGCTGCACGCATTTGCTATGTTCCCAGTGCGTCCGAAAGTTCTTTACAGCCTGTTGTAGTCTAGGAAGTGTGCAGCAGTGTGACGAAAAGGTCGGAAAGGTGAGAATGAGCAAACTAGGACACAGAGACACAAAGTGAGCACATGGTGCGAGAGAAATGGCGCCAACGGGCTTGTTCAACGCGGGCTGGCCACAGACCTTCAGTCCGTCAGAAGCACAGCGTCTGGAAAGTGCGGTAAAGTGAAGTGCGATGAAATGCGGTCCGCCTGCGTTTAGTGTCAGGACTGGGAGACACGGGTGTTCTCGCCCCGATGTGAGCCTGCTGTCGGGGACTCTCAGGCGGACCCCGGGCCTGCTCCCTGCTGTCGTCGTAGTTCCAGGGATGGAGGCTCCAGACCTGCGTGAGTGTGCGGCGGGTCTGCAAGACGGTGCCCTTGGGATTGGCATCGGGGGCAGAGCTAGGCAGAGGCCTGGGTGTCCAGTCAGCCGCCCCCAGGTCTCAGAGACCCCTGAGAGCGCTGTTGGGGCCTTCAGGTTGCCCTGCCTCAATGAGGGGCCAGCCCTTGGTTGGCTCCACTCTGCACTCATTGAATGCAGACTCCTGGGAAGGTGACGGGGCCTTGGACAGTTCCTGGAGTGGCCTTAGCTGAGCGCCACGAGGCAGCCGCACCGCCAGCACCCCATCTCAGCGTTCCCAAACTCCTGCACCTCAGCATGTCCACGGATCGCACCCTCCCCACGTAGGGGTGAGGGAAGGGGTGTTGTCCGTGATTTTTTTTGGAGGCGTCCCTGAGATGATCAGTCTTGTGTAACCTCTGCGCTTCCTTCTGTGGCACTGTCTACATACCCTGTCTGGCACTTAGCAAGACACCTCCTTAGCACCGTATGTCTCTAGCTTATCTTCCCCATGAGATGATGAGGTCACTGAGGAGAAAATTAGTGTTTGCTCTGTGAATACCTGTGACTATCACAGGCATCCGGGAACTGAAATGGACTAGTACTGGCCATTTTGATTCATAGTCACATGGTCTACTATGCTGCGAACCAACGAATGAAAGAAGAACAACATGGCATCACCAAACAGAACATTTCACGACCTGTCCTGAAGTCCGACACTGTCAGTGATAGGGCCACATCCACACACCCCCAACGAAAGATGAGTTAATATGACTGTGACTGAAATTTACACACCAATCACTCTCGCCAAAGATGAAGAATCCAAAGACTTTTACCATCTTCTGATGAACGTCTGAAGTTTATCAACTGTTCGGTCAAGGTGCACTGATAAGGCCTGGTGCAAACAAGACTCCAGGAATTGACAGAAGGTCTCCTGAGATGTTTCAACACACTATACCCCTCTGAAGTGCTCACTCATCGATGCCAAGAAATTGGGAAGACAGCTACCTGCCCAACCGACTGGAAGAGATACATGTTAGTGCCCATTCCAAAGAAAGGTGGTCTGACAGAATGCAGAAATTGTCAACCCG